GCCTACTTAATTTAAAAATTCTACTCGTTGATACTTGAAAAGCTGAAACTTTTAATGTGTTAGTTTATTTTATAAATTATACATTGCGTGTTTACACAACGAAAATTTTAAGGTTTTTTAACCAAAAGTCAATTCAAGTTACTAATATCTTATGATTAAATTAATTATTTTAATACCATTGAGCATAATATCATAAAATATAATTACCTAAACATATTATTGGTAGAYAGACCGTTTTCCCTCAAAATTACTTTTGGTATACAATTATTTTATAGTATTGAATTCAAATAATTTAACACATCTATTGCAGTGAAYCACGTGACACCTAAATGTGTAGAATACCACTATATCATTATCTATTAGCCAAACTCTTTTTTTTTTATCCTAAATGTATGAAAAAAACGATAGGGCACCAAATTAAAAAGTGCAGAATTGAATACAATTATTTATAACATTTTATATTAATGCGATTTCTTATAAAAGTTTTCTATCYATARCAAAAATGTTTATTAAAAGTCACATAAATATTTGAAGTACAAATTTTTTGATATTGAATTTTCAATCATATGTATTACTCGTAAATTAACTATTTTTCCTCGATTGATTTTTAATATTTTGTAGCAATTCATAAATGCGACATTGTGATATTTTTTCCAATMTCAACTAAACTAAATGTTTTATTTGTCATTATTTATATATGTGATACAAATTTTAAGATTTTTTGATTTTATTTTAATTATACGATACGTTTGACATTTTCAATTTGATTAAGTTTTTTTTTCAATAACTTTCGATAAAGTGTTTAGATTAGTTCGAAATTTTTATATAAGGTTTCCCGTAATTTGTTATAATAATAATAATAAAAAATGGGACAATTAGGTAAAGCTTTGCTTTACAATACGTTCTGCTGTATATTAGGTGTCAAGAGAATTCTGTGTAATATATGTGTCAAATTTGAATTCAATGATGATTGTTGTATACAAAAAACTTTTATGGGTGGAGATGGTCTGACAGCCTATAATACTATGAAGAACCTATATTTTATGATATTATTTTAATAAAATTAATTTAATATAAAATCAGGCATTAGTACATTTAAAATATAATTTTTAGCGAAAAAATTTCATTTTAAAATGAGATTGTGTGCATACAATATAATGATATTTTTTAAAAGTTTCAAATATCCATTTATAATAAATGTTTGATTTTAGATTCTTAACGGAGTGACGAGTTGATGTGTGTGCTAGGAATATTATTATTTTTTGTATCTGTGTACACGATACAGACGATAACTAATTAAAATAACGTTTCGATTTTTAACTTAATATATTTTCTTGTGGTAAAATAAATCTAGTTGGTACATTTGGAAAAATTTAAAGCTCCCAAAGGCACCCAGAAAAACATTAAAAAAAACTGTTGAGCCAATTCACTTTACCACATATTTTTTAATACTTCAGAAAGAATTAAATGATTTTTTTTTAATTTGAATTGATTTATTTCAATAGATGATTTGCAGAATCATAAATTTTTTGTAAAATACATTTTTGAAGGTTTGTAGATACTTTTCAGCTTTCTTTGATACTTGTCTAAATAGTCAGAAAAAAATGTTTTTGATTTATAAACAAAAAAAAACCATTGTGTATATATATGTATATATATATATATGTATATAATATATTTTTTATTTGGTTTGAGCATTGTTACTGTGACCATTAGCTATTGTAGAGTTTACGGTAGGTGTTACTGGTTAGTACAGTTGGTACGATAGGTCGGAAACGCGTGMATCTATGGCAATASTTAAATTTTTTTCCACTAAGAATCCGAATGGTCACCAATTCGGTAAATATTGATAGTTGACAGTGCGTATTATCATCATGTTGTATGATTGATTTTAACAACCGCGTTACGCCAAGCC